AAGTAAACACTTACTGCTGGGTATTGGGCTGACAAATGAGTGGTCTCATTTCAGTCACTGGGACTGTTTATTATTAAGTCCCTTTTGTTAACTCCAGCATGATACTTCATAGACAGCACTATGCTTGTTAGTAAGTGGTGTAAGAGTTGTCCCACATTCCATATTCAGTTCAGCGGATACTAATAAATTGCATTGATTTGAATCTTCCTAGAAGCTGAAGATGCCGATTTTCTCCATCTAAGGCATGGTTTGTGTCAGCTATGCTATGCGTCAAGATAAGATGCACTCCTGGAGCTTTCCTCTTCCCTAAACACCTTTATAAAAAGAGAATATTTTGTCTGCAGTTCTTGTAACTTCAGGGTGGTTGCAATAGACATGTAGGCTGTCCCACCCTCTTTCCTGCTACTCATGGTGACTATTTCATCTGGGCTATATTCTGAATGCAGAAGGCTTGTAGCTTTATGTCCTGGGTAGTGGATGGCCTGTGCAACTGAAGGATAAGGCTGTTGAACTGCTAAGTGTTTAAAAATTCTCTGTTCATGGGATTATTTATCTTTCTTCCGAAGAACAAGAAGATAACAGGTCACTTGTTTTTATTTCAAGTTTGTTCAGCCCTCTCTCTTACAAACAGACTGTTAAACTCTGACCATTAATTTGGTCCATGGTATTTTGGCGGGATAACTTAGAAATATAGTTATCTGTAGATCACAAAAAGGAGCCTTAGATTACTGGAATTCAAGTTTAATTGTGAAAATATCCCACTTACTGTACATAGATGTTTAATTATATTGTCATACTTTGAAAGTGTTTGGGTGACTTCCAAATAAGCCTGGAGTAGTAGTCTTCTGTAAAATGAATTCTTGTTGGAGACCAAATGAGCATAAATCAAGAAGAGCATATTGTTAATCTGTTAAAACATTGAATTAATTGCATGTTCTCTCTGCAGGAGCCTACACGAATAGATTTGCTGGCATTCAACTCTGCTGCCGAGATGGAAGAGCTAGGATTAGAGAAGCTGAAGTTTGAACTGATGGCTCTGGGTCTGAAATGTGGAGGCACTTTACAGGAAAGAGCTGCAAGGCTTTTCTCAGTGAGAGGTCTGTCTAAAGACCAGATAGATCCGGCCCTGTTTGCAAAGCCCTCTAAAGGGAAAAAGAAATAAAATATATGCTGTTGTTAATCTCTGTTTATATTTGCACACTTCAGAAAAACAGCTTCTGTTCTGTTGTCACTCTGTAACTTGCCACTTGCACTTGATGTGTTTAGATACTGATTTCCATTTTTAATGGTCTTAATAAAAGCATCAGTTGTTACCATAACACACAGAGTAAATTGCATAGTAGTAAGTGCTGAGTATTAGAGTTAAAAATATAAACTGCTACATTAAATCATATAATTAACAGCACACACAGTGTCCTGGGAGGGTAGGAGAAAGTGATGCTCAGAAGAGAGTGCGCTTTCCAGAAATGGATGTTCAACACGGTCAGTACCCAATTAAGTAAAAGTCAAACTAACTGAGTTAATATAGGATTACTAATCTGCTTTAATCTCCAGTTAGCCCAGCTATACCCTTCAGATAGTGAAAATTTAGTTAAAACATGATTCAGCCTTGACAACTGAAGTCTGTCTTGAGGGAAAGGGAAAACTGTTGTATGGGTGACTTCAGATATGGATAAATACACTCTTTGTGAATTGGCTTGGTGGTGCTGTCAAGCGTTAGTATAACAGGCTAATACAAGTGAAAACATTGCTGTTTTGTATGTGATGACTTATTGGTGTAAATATGTATTCTTCATATGAAAAGCAGTTTAATAAAGGAATCTTTATATATGAAGGTGTAGAAGAGACTCTGAATGGGGGAAAGGAGAAGACATCACTTAAATACTTTTGAAGTAAGTAATACACATGAAGGAGGCAAATTAATTGGAAGACAATGTGGAGCAATGGCTTGAAGCTTAATGAGACATCTTCCTAATAAAAGCAGCAGAGTATGTTCTCCAGGGAGCTGGATGAAGCACTCTTATTGTAGGTATTCTAAAGCATGTTTTATACCACAATACTGGAGATGGCTGTCACGAGTGGTCCTACAAAGTTAGAGGCCACGTGTGGAAAGCCAAGGGCCATATGCTGCCTTGGATTCATGGGTGCAACTTCCATTGTCTTCAGTAGAGGTTTGTATAAAAAGAGTAGGATAGATTCCACAAGTGGTCTTTCTGCCTGTTGCTGCCTATGAAATATGTTCACCACCATTTTTATTTCACTTCGGCTTAAAGAGACAGTAGAAGCAAAGAAAAGATCCTTTATGCAATGGATTGTCAACCTGTGGAATTGCTGCATGAAATCACTAAGACTGCATGCAGGTATCTAATACAGAACTAGGTAATCTTGACTTCTAGCACTTACACTTTGATCACAGCTGCTGGTGATCCTGCAAGAAATCCACTTACAGCTTGAATATGAAAGTTTCTGTCCTCTGCAGGAATACACTTCTTGCATAACTACTTGCCAAGGCTGTTGTAACCTCTTTCCCAGAGTAATGTGTAGGTTACAATCCATTTTAGGAGCTCTGTTGCATTCGCTGCCACTTCCTTAATCCAAAATATAGTTGTATTGGCTAGAGGTAATACTATAGAAAATAAAATATAGAGCTGATTGTAAAGTATCAGCAAGAAACCCTGTACGTGATGGACACTCGAGTGATAGGCAGAGCATACAGATAGAAACTGCTCTTTGAAGATCAGCCTGATCTTCAAAAGTTCAGCATGGGAGAGGTCTCCAAGCTGAGTATGGTCCTGCTATGATGGGCATTTCCCAGTTGATGATTGTCTTAGGCCAGGTCTACACTACCCCCCTAATTCGAACTAAGGTACGCAACTTCAGCTACGTGAATAACGTAGCTGAAGTTTGAAGTACCTTAGTTCGAACTTACCTTGGTCCACACTTGGCAGGCAGGCTCCCCCATTGACTCCGCGGTACTCCTCTCGCCGAGCTGGAGTACCGCAGTCGATGGCGAGCACTTCCGGGTTCGACGTGATAAGTCGAACCCAGAAGTTCGATCGCTCGCCGCCGAACTACCGGGTAAGTGTAGCCAAGGCCTTAGATATGCTATGAATGCTTTCCCAGAAAGGTGAATCTTTTTAGCACAGTAGGCAATCTCATTAAGTGCTTCCTGCTCATCCTGTTCTTTGCAGAACCGTGGCTTTTAATTACAGAAACATGGGGCAATTGGGTGGATAGTGTAAGATAAGTGTCACTTATAAAATAAGGGAATACTGAATGTAGAGTGAGAGCAGTTGTCATACTATGTTTTGAAGCTAGGTAGTGCAACTTGGAGGGTGAAAACTTGACCATTTAGGTATATACAGTGTGTGTGTGTCTCTTTTATGCAGACACCATTTGAGTTCTTCACCTAGGGCAGCTCCTGTGTAGCTGGGGCTCTGAGGTGGTATGTGCTAAGGTGGTGGAAGTTTTCACTAGCATCCTGTCCCATCTTTATCCAGTGCAAATGGTTTAGATTTATCTTCAAATTAAGCAAAGAAGTTGATTTGCTTAATTTGACACATTTGAAAAATGGAAAGAGCAATTTCTTCTTTCCTTCCCTGAGACTAGGAGCAGTTTATTTGTACTAGGGTTTGCTTCAGAAGAAGGTGTAGTCGAGGATTGCAGTAACTAATATGAAATAGGTATCAGGCAACCAGTTCACCTTCGTTGCTTTTAACATAAACAGTTTGTGTATCAATATTCCATTTCCAGCTTCTGCCCTCTTCGCAATATTCAGTCATCAGCAACTGAATCTTCTAGTCTAGGAATAACCTTACCTCTTTCCCAGTTAGCCACAGAGTTATACAATGTTCATGCAGCCGCTTTGCAACTATTGTAAGCCTGTGGCCTTATGCTCCCCTCACTACCGTGGCCTATATTGTATTTCCCACAGGAATATGAAAGTCACAGAGTGCTCTTCCCCATTGATTATTGGACAGGCACGGTTTCTTGTAAGGAGTAATATTGCTCTAGTAAGTTTAATTATTTCTGTAGCAGTTAGAGCATAAGCCTAAGAATTAACTCTGGGGGGCTTTTCCACTGCTTCTGTGTCTGGTTTTAGCCAAGATGTGTAAGCTAGGGTTACCATATTTTGAGTGTCCAAAAAGAGGACACTCCACAGGGCCCCGGCCCCACCCATGCCCCTGCCCCAACTCCACCCCTTCCCCTGCTTCCCGTGAACATTTGATTCGCAGGAAACCTGAAGCAGACAGCAGGTAAGCTGGGGCGGGTGGGGGAGGAGGCACGGCTCAGTCTGGCCCCCCCCAACTGAGCAGCTCCCTCCGGTGTCTCCAGCCTGGCTCGGCACCCAGTGGCACCAGCCCCTCCCTATTTTCCAGGACATGTTCGGCTTTTTGGGGATTTCCCCCCAGACAGGGATTTGAGGCCCAAAAAGCTGGACATGTCCAGGAAAATCCAGATGTATGGTAACCCTATGTAAGCTCTCTGCATCTTAGTTATCCATCTATTGAATATGGATAGGAGATATCTTAAGGCTGTTGTGATGCTTAGTTAATATTTGAAAAGCACTTTGAGATCAAATTCTTTGACATTTACAGAATAAATCATTTTAATTTATTTGAAATAACTTTGAGTTACCTTCAGTTTTTATTTTTTAAAGCTAATGATCAATCTAAAGGGAATGTTTAAGTTTTTCTACTTTTTGGTTGACTTGAAAAATTTTAGTTTAAGGTTAACCTAAACAATTTTTTTTTCCCCCCACAACTGAAAAACCAGTTATTCACATAGTTCTAGTGCTGGCAGTCCTCCAGTGCTTTCTCACACTTTTCCTTGTGTGCCCAGACAGACAAGTTCTCCCATGACTCATTGGGAAAGAATTAAAGCCGCACAGCTTACTGCAGAACTGTGGGATATGCCACGAGAAGTCCTAGAACCTAGACAAGTTAGTACAGCAGCAGTGTGGATGCACGTGAGATAGGCCAATGCAGGTGCTCACAGCTGGATGCTGACCACCTGAGTTAATTCTACAGAAAATCTATATGCTGTGAGCTTCTTGTTTCAGGGGTGGGGGGGGGAAATCTGCCCTAGACTAATTTATGGTGGAAACTGACCTTTTACTAGTTCCTCTCCACCTTACCTACCATGATTACAAACTTATCCGTCATTCACCAGTGCTTTGGCTGAAGATGTGTTTTTAGTACGAATTGTATCCTTCAGTAGTCTTGTTTTGCTAATACCACTATATTACTGGACACATGGCCCTGCTCCCAGAGTAGGAGAGCAGAGAAGCATCATTCTTCCACTAGATGTCACTGATAACACAGGGAAGGCTGTTGGGTTGCACAGCAGCTTGAAGAGGGGAAGTAGGTCCAAGTTATATTTTCATGGACAGTTTTTTGTTTTTCTGGCTAATTTTTTTTATGAAAAATTGATTAGACACCAAATTGAGTTAATAAATATTAACCTGGCCCATAAACTTACAGTGGAGTTACTCTGGATTTACAGCAGAGATCAGAAACTCTGAGGAGTAATTCAGTGGAACTATCTGGATTTACCTTAGGGTACGTCTATACTTCCTTCCTGGTCCGGATGTAAGCAATCGATCTTCTGGGATCAATTTATCGTGTCTTGTCTAGATGCGAGAAATCGATCCCGGAAGTGCTCGCCGTCGATGCCGGTACTCCAGCTCAGCGAGAGGAGTACGCGGCATCGACGGGGGAGCCTGCCTGCCGCGTCTGGACCCCGCGGTAAGTTCGGACTAAGGTACTTCGAATTCAGCTACGTTATTAACGTACCTTAGTCCGAAGTGGGGGGGTTAGTGTGGACCAGGAAGTGTACCTAGAATCAAAGTCTGGCCATTAGGATTCACAAGTGGCTTGTTGGCAAATATGCTCTACAGCAGTGGTGCCCAACCTTATTACACAGGAGGGCCACATAAACCGAAGCACAACCTTGTGTGGGCCAAACAGATTCTACCTATTTATATTTTAAGTTCAGCTTGTTTTGTAGGCATTGAGAGAGGTTGTTTCTAGGTACAGTATTGTCTATTTACATGATGATTAAAATGCTAATGAATCAGCTGTTAGTATATAATGTTGAAGCAGGCTGCAGGCCTTATGATGTGCTCTTGGGGGCTGTAGGTGTGGGCACCCCTCTTCTATAGAAAGGAAACTATTCCTAACAGTATAGAGCTGGACTATTAGAGGTGTGACATGTACTTTTCATTAGAACTCCTGAGCTAATATTCTTAAAGTCAGTTTGGGTGTATTAGAGTTCTCATGGAGTTAAAACATAGCCCTGGGAATCAGAAGATCAACTCTGCAACTAACTTGAGTGGTATAAGGCAAGTAATTACATTTCTCTGTGCCTTGGTGTCACCATCTTTACAATGCATCTGAAAACACAAGGCCATTGAAAAAAAAATGCTCTATAGAGGCGTGAAGTATTCTATAATAACACTTAGCATTCACAGGGGGCCTTTCATCTGAGGATCTTGGAGTGCTTTACAAGCATTCACTAATTAAGCTTCAAAACACCCTAAGGTACAAAAGGATATACATACATTTTCACTAATGTTAATTATGCCTGCTGGATCAATGGCCTTAAAGTCTGAGTCTATCATCACAGCTACTGCTGGGTTATAGGAAGTCAACTTGCGCATAGAGTTTTCTGAAAATGTAGGGTGTAATATTTAAGTGCCCATCTACTATAACACATGGAAATCTGGGTTTTTTCACATGTGTATGTAATCTAAAGATAATAGGTGTGCCTTTGAACAGATTAGCACTAGTATAATCCCATTTGCTTTAAAGTGTAAGGGCTATTATTGCCATG